TTCTAGCAAAGAATCAGAAATGGCAGTCTCTTTAATGAAAAACTCCTACATTAGAATGCTGAAATTCCTTTTTTCCCCCGAGGTACTGGGGATCAAACCCAAGGCCTCACACATATAAGGCAAGCACTTTACTAATGAGCTACATCCCCTCCCCTTTTAAACATTTTAAAAAATTTTGAGAAAAGGGTCTTGCTAAGTTGTACAGGCTGGCCTGGAACTGCCTCAGCTCCCTAGTAGCTGGGATTATAGGTGTGTACCACCATGCCCAGCTCTTAGTCCTTTTATTTTGAGACAGTTTCTCACTAAGTTTCCCAGGGTGACCTCTAACTTAGAATTCTCCTGCCTTAGCCTTCTGAGTAGCTGAGTTTGTAGGTGTGTACCACTACACCCAGCTTAAAATACCATTTTTATATGAAATTAGAGACTGTCTTTAGTTTCTAATGTTGATAAGAATATGGTGAAATTAGTATTTTTGTGACTTACTAAATTTTAGCATTTTAAATTTTAATAATCCTCTTAGAAACTTGTTACTTTACACATAGTTTAGGAATTTATCCTAAGGGACTAAAGTCAAAAGTGAAAGGTTGTATTTATGAAGATATTTTAGAATTATTTATAATTGGGCAAAAGTTGTTGAAATATCCAGTAATAGTGAATAATTAAATTATGGAGTGTCTTCTAAATGGAACTCTATACATTCGTTTAAAAATAATTTAGAAGAGGTGGGCATGGTGTCATATACTTATAATCCCAGTGATTTGGAGGCTGAGACAAGAGGATCACAATTCAAAGCCAGTCTAAGCAACTTAGTAAGACCATGTCTCAAAATAAAAAATAAAAAGATCTGGGGAAATGCATCAGTGGTAAAGCACCCCTGGCTTAGATCCCTAGTACCTAAAATAATAACAACAACAACAATAGAGAATAAACAACATCATGGGAAAATTAATGATGAAAGAATATTCTGCTATGTATACTTTAACTGCTTGGTGTAGAGTCTAAAAGTAGAGGTATATATAGGTATACTCTACTTTTATACCTCTACTTTTACTTGTTTATAATTGTTTTGGTATTGTGTACTAGACCCAGCTGCCCAGATAACCCTTCAGAACCAAAGGACTTCCTTCCCCAACTGCTGGGAGTGCTGTTGGCTGACTATTCACAGCTGTTAGCTCTCTTTTGGAATTTCCCCTAATGAAGAGCCCTGCCTCACCCCAGGTCATGCCCACTCACTGGGGCCTATAACCCTGGACTGCTCCATGTAGAGATACAAAGACTTGATCTCCCCATCCCAACTGGAGAAAACCCTGTAGAGCCATCCTAACTCCAGACTTAACTCCTCATGTGGTCAACCTGTCTGCTTTGCAGCCCAGTACCTTCTGTATCCTCACTTCTTCCCAGATGTTGATCCCAACCACATTACTCTGTAAGCATGCTTACATGCCAACCTCTATTTCAGTGTCTGCTTTTAGGAAATCCAGACTTGCAATAGTGTTTCTGTTCTTTTCTGGTAGTGTATACTCAAACTATGACTTAGGAAACTATTTTGTGATTGCTTAGTGTACTGACAAATTGTGTCTTTATGACATCAGGCAAATAGACTATTCTGAATGTAAATTTGCTATTGTAAGTATTGTTTATGTTAAGTGATATTGAACTTATTGCCAAAAAAGTTCAGATTTAAAAAAAAAAAAGAATGACTGGGCACAATGGTGCATGCCTGTAATCCTAGTGGTTTGGGAGGATGATACAGGAGAATCATGAGTTAAAAGCCAGCCTCAGCAACTGTGAGGTGCTAAGCAACAGTGCTAAGACCCTGTCTCTAAATAAAATACAAAATAGGGCTGGGGATGTGGCTCAGTGGTCAAGTGTCTCTGAGTTCAATCCCCATCCCCCACAAAAAAAAGAATGGTACAGTGTTAGTGGAATGAAATAAGACTTTGTTATGATCAAAACTATAAAATGATTATGTTAAAATGAAATATAAAAATGTTGTAGTTTTTATTTTTCTTCTTTGCTACTAGAATTGTATCTGCATGTGTACAAAGTTATGTTTTTTTTTTTTTCCTTTCGATGGTACTGAATTTGAATCCAGGACTTCACTAGGCAAGTGCTCTGCCACTGAGCTGCATCCCTAGACTTTGTTATTTTATTTTGAGATAGTTTAAGTTGCCCGTACTGGTCTGGAACTTGGTATCCTCATGCGTCAGCCTCTCAAGTAACTTGGATGATAGGTGTGTGCCACCTAACCTGACATAAAGTACCTTCTTAAATGCAGATTTGACCAAATCATTCATTCTTTTGCTTATAAGCTTTTGGTCTTTTTTTTTTAATATTTATTTTTTAGTTGTAGTTGAACACAATACATTTATTTTAATTTATTTATTTTTATGTGGTGCTGAGGATCAAACCCAGGGCCTCACACTTGCTAGGCAAGCACTCTCCTGCTGAGCCAAAACCCTAGCACAATCTTTCTTTTTTTGTATTGGGGATTGAACCTAGATATGCTTTACCACTGAGCCATATTCCATGTCATTTTTATTTTATTTTTTAATATATATTTTTTATTTGTAGATGGATACAGTATCTTCATTTTATTTTTTAATTTTTATGTGGTGCTGAGGATCGAACCCAGTGCCTCATGTGTGCAAGGCAAGTGCTCTACCACTGAGCCACAACCCCAGCCCTCCTTTTAATTTTTTATTTTGAGACAGGGTCTCACTAAGCTGCTGAGGCTGGCTTTGAACTTGTGATCCTCCTGCCTCGGCTTCCCGAATCACCATGCCCAGCCTAAATATCACTGCTTCTTAAAGTCTTTCCTCCCCATTCCTTTTTCTTACAAATTAATTTCTTTCTTTTTTCTCTTTTGGGGCCTTCAAGTATTGTCCTTACCAAATTTATATTGTAGTAAATGTATTTCTTCAATGCGGGAATTCACATAGTATTTTCAGTGGTTGGCACGTAATAGGCATTTCATAAATGGAAGAAATTGGTTAACTGTTAACACTTTTAATTTGTTTCAGGGGCATTTATGCAATGAGCCTTTGGATGTGTATAGTTATTTGCACAACCAAGGGATTGGCATTTCGCTTGCTCAGTTCTACATTTCATGGGCTGAAGAATATGAAGCTAGAGAAAACTTTAAGAAAGCAGATGCAATATTCCAGGAAGGGATTACACGGAAGGCTGAACCACTAGAAAGATTGCAGTCCCAACATAGGTAAAGTGCTTTTCTGCAGCTTGTCTTAACTCTTTTTTAAATTAAGAAATAAATGGTCTTTTTGCTTCTGAATAAAATGCTCCCTGATGTATTGGCAAGTTAAATTTATTTAGCTACTATTCATTTTTTTAAAAAAATTTTTTTACAGTAAAATCCATTCTTTGGTATATGGTTTTATGAGTTTTCACAAATGAATATACATTTAACTGTCACCACAATTAAGATATAGAATAGGGGCTGGGGTTGTGGCTCAGTGGTAGGGCGCTTGCCTCATGTGTTTGAGACTCTGAGCTCAATCCTCACCACCACATAAAAATAAATAAGTGAGATAAAGGTATTGTGTCTAACTACACTAAAAAATAAAAAAAAAATTTTTTTTAAAAGGATATAGAATAGTTCCATACCCCCCAAGAGAATTCCCTGATGCTATTCCTTTGTAGTTGTTAATACCTAATCTTAACCTGAATACTAGCAAACACTTATCTATTCTCCAGCCCTATAGTTTTGCTGTTTCTAGAATGTCATATAAATGGAGTCATATAGTATGTAGATTTTTGAGTCTCTCTTCTTTGATTTATAATAATGCTTTTGTGTTGTAAAATTTCCTTATATATTCTAAATGCAAACCTTTTGTCAGACATGTTTTGATTTATAAATATTTTCTTCCAGCTGTAGTCTTGCCTGTTTATTCTTTTAACTCTTAAAGAATAAAAGTGTAATTTCTTTTCTTTTTTTTTTTTTTTGGACTGGGGATCGAACCCAGGAGCACTTAACCACTGACCCACAAACCCAGCCCCTTTTATATTTTATTTAGAGACAGGATCTCCCTAAATTGCTTAGGGCCTCTCTAAGTTGCTGAGGCTGGCTTTGAACTCAGTCCTCCTGCCTGAGTCCTCCCTGAACCACAGGGATTATAGGTGTGTGCCACCATGTCTGGAGTTTTAGATTCACCTTTCTGGAATTTTTATTAGGATTGTACATAAACATATTTTTTTCACTTTATTTAGGTATGATTTCTTTTAGTGAACTTTAGAAGATTTTTTTCCTAATCTTTAAAGAATTGGTTTATTTCATCTAAGTTCTTGAGTTTGTGGGCACAGAGTTGTTTATAATATTACTTTATTATCCTTTAAATGTCTACCAGGTGATGTAATATTCTCTTTCATTCCTGATAGTGGTAATTTGTATCTTCTCTTTTTTCTCACTCCAATAGAAGTTTATCAATTTTATTGATTGTGTCTCATAACCTGCTTCTGGGATCACTATTTTTCTCATTCTGATTTTCTGTTCTTTTCTTTCTTCTTGCTTGGTACAACTATTTCTTCTTTTTCTATTTCCAGGTAAAAGCTTAGATCATTGATTCTAATCCTTCTTTTCTCATAAAAGCCTTTAATATGCTCTAAATTTCCCTCAGCTGCATCTCACGAGTTTTAATATGTCATGTTTTCATTTTCACTGAAAAGATTTTCTAACTTCTTTTGTGTCTCCTTTTTAACTTATGGTTTATTTAGAAATGTTATTTAATTAGGAAATGTTTTTGGGGTTTTCACATAGCTGCCTGTTATTGATTTCTAGTTTAATTCCATTGTGATCAGAGAACATAATTTGTATGATTTTAATTCTTTTAAATTTGTTATGAACAAGACAGGGAAGCCCTCTATCACCACTTCTATTCAATTTAGTTCTTGAAATACTAGCCAGAGCAATTAGACAGAC